CTTCTCTAACTCACCAATGAATTTCTTAGTTGCTTGCAGAAATTGTGTCACCACTTCTTCACTTTCAGTCTCTACCAGTTCATCTAACACCTCATTCACTATCCGCATGTAATGGCGCCGGGTTTTTCCTTTTGCCATACTTGCTTCGGAGGCCTTTATAAACTGACAAGTCTCCATGAGATCATCGACTGTCATGTGAATCAGATGTTCATTGATTTCATCTTGCAACTTTTCGATATCCATACTCCTAATGTTTTTCTTTAACTTCACCACGGACAGTGTAGTCACTCCTTTTCACTTCCGGACCTTTTGGCGTTCCTTTCACCCGGCCCCACGTTGGGCGCCAATTTTGTTGCACATACGGTAAATAATTCAACTGTGCGAAGGATGGGTTGGGTGAAACCAGAAGTGTTTTATTAGGAATGGCTGTAACAAACACAGAAAACCCTTAATTACATGTGACTGGATATGTTCACTGTAATCACTGTCCTCTATACCTTACTAAATATTTCCATATACATTAATAAGTATTTTCATATACTTGAATAAACATCTTTAATTGCAATACTGAATATCTAGACCTCTGCAGATATGCTAGGAAACTATTCTGCATAACAATAGCGTATTACAATAGAGAAATCACATTCCCTGTATCTTAGCGCCAAATCACATAGCTGCAATATATATTCACATTTATGCTACAAGTAATCTGATTGCATAATAGTAACAGCGACATTTACTAACCACCAGGGCACATGTTAAGTCATTTTGTCCTATTATCATGTTAAACAGCCTCCTGCTTATCTGTAACAAACACAGAAAAACCCTTAATTACATGTGACTGGATATGTTCACTGTAATCACTGGCCTGTAGGAAACAAAGTGTTAGACTTTTGGTTCCTACTTCTGTGTCTTCCTATTATCACAGGAAGTAGTTCTGCCCTCTTGTGATGTTACAATAAAAATGCAATCACTAGTATCTTCTGTTGACAAAGATAGATTACTGTTATATTAGGTATTAGGCTTTGGATTTAAATTTTATGGGGCTGCCTATTTTCTACACCTCTTACACACAGTTCATCACAAACTGTTTTTCATCCTTTCTACATCTCTGTGCAGCTGATCTCCATTGTCTGTCACTTCCTGTCTGCATGCACCTGCATGGGAGTCAGATCGCCGCATGTGGACGCAGAGCGGGCCGTAAATGTGGTATGAGCTGCACATGTGTAGCTCCGATTACAATCTTGCCCTCCTTACCTTGAACAGGCAATGGGAGGGGGACATTTATGGCAGAACAGACTACTAGGGCAAGGGCGACATTTATGTATGTCTAGCAGATTTCTTCTGTTATAAAAAACCCTCCCTGTCAGAGGACTTTCCATTCCACAATTTTACTACCACTTCAACAGGAAGTGTCTGAATAACGATCTTTGTGGAACAATTAGCAGGTATTAATTCATAGAAATTTGCATTTGAAAAGGCTGAAAACAGCCTTTGAAACTACATTAGCCTGTAAAAACCTGTATGAGATTTTAGTCATGGGGCTTACATCTATTCCAAATTTCTACAGAAAGAGTACAATGTTTTCACTTGAATAAATAAAGAAGAAAATGTTTCAGCCATTTTTAGAGCTCCTAAATAGTGATGGACCAAACAATCCTCTGTTCAGTTCGCAGTCGAACATTCAAACCTAATGAAAGTTCAACTTCGAACAGAGGGGACAATTCATTAAGCAGTATCTTACCGCATCTTACCGTATAGCAACTAAAAGCATTCTTTAATGTTTCAGCTGTCAACGTGGTTCCCCACTTGACAGATGAATGTAAAAAATTGCTGGCATTGCCCAGCAATTACAAAAATAAAAAAAAAGTGTGGGGTCCCCCCCATACATACCCTTCAGGTCTAGTATGGATTGTTAAATCTTTAAAAAAGATACCAGACCCTTATCTGAGCATGCAGCCCAGCAGGTCAGGAAAGGGGGAGGCGAGTGAGGGCCCCCCACCGAACCATGCCAGGCCACGTGCCCTCAACATGGGGGGTGCTTTGGGGGCACCTTATCCCCCAAAGCACCTTGTCCCAATGTTGATGGGGGTAAGGACTGCTTCCCCACAAACCATGGCCGGTGGTTGTGGGGGTCTGCAAGCATGGGGGTTTATAAGAATCTGGAAGCCCCCTTTAACAATGGGGCCCCTAGATCAGCAATGGGCAAACTACGGCCCGCGGCCCGGCCCGGACCTTTTAATCCAGCCCGCGGAGCTAGGCTCCCGCTAGGCTCCCGCTAGGCTCCTCTCACAGTCCGCCCTGAAGACCGGTGTAGCATGAAAATCTGTCTCCTATGAGGATCTGTCCCCCTCGACGTATCTGCGCATGTTCCGGAGATCGCCGATCGGCTGCTAATGCCTGAAACTGGCACATGCGCAGATACGTCGAGGGGGACAGATCCTCATAGGAGACAGATTTTCATGCTACACCGGAACGGCGGCGGCGAGAGACGCGCGGAGCAAAGGTAAGTGAATTGACACAGGGGGGACTTGGGGACTTAATCTGGGGGATGAATTAATATGGGGAATGAATTACTATAGGGGGGATGAATTACTATAGGGGGGATGAATTACTATATGGGGGATGAATTACTATGGGGGATGAATTACTATATGGGGGATGAATTACTATGGGGGATGAATTACTATATGGGGGATGAATTACTATATAGGGGATGAATTGCTATATGGGGGATGAATTACTATGGGGGATGAATTACTATGGGGGATGAATTACTATGGGGGATGAATTACTATATGGGGGATGAATTACTATGGGGGATGAATTACTATATGGGGGATGAATTACTATGGGGGATGAATTACTATATGGGGGATGAATTACTATATGGGGGATGAATTACTATGCTTACTATGGGGGAATATTACTATACTACTATGGATGACACATACACATCATTCATCTACTCTTGGTCTGGCCCCCGGGTACAATATATGAACCCATTGCGGCCCTCGAGTCAAAAAGTTTGCCCACCCCTGCCCTAGATCCTGCCCCCCCCATGTGAATGAGTATGGGGTACATGAAACCGCTTCCCATTCACAAAAAAAAAAGTGTAGTGTAAACAATTTCTTTGACAAGTCCTTTTTATCAAACAAAAATTTAAAAAATGTCCCCGTCAATCCCGATGCCCACCACCACCACCGACCCTGGCTCCCGGCTGTCTGACCGTTCTTAAATACATTAACGACATCATAAGGGGTGGGGTCACTCCGCCCCTTGTGGTGTCATCATGCGCTGTGATTGGCCAAAGCATTGCACCTGATGGTCAGGTGCATTGCTTTGGCCAATCACAATGCACTGTCAGGGCACAGTGCATTTTGTGGTGCAGTGCGGCCGAACGGCAAACACCCTTCCGGCAGATGTCCGAGTCGAACTTGCGTTTCACTCAAAACATAGCCCAACATTACTCCTAAATGGCTTCTCCTTTACCATTTTAGAAATCATTGTACAAGGATTATCCACCAGCTGAATCTAGCCACTATTATCACTATATCTTACATGTCTTCTAAATCTAGTATCACACAGTTTAGCAATGCTCCTGTCATATTACAAAAATTTTCCTGGATTAAAAAAAAATGTAAACAAGCATGCAGCCCCATTACAATATACAGTATCTATAGCAAGGGTGCAGTGAGTGTGCATCCACTTTGGCATGCTAATATCAGTCCATGTGATCTTCAGCAACACTGACATCACTATAAACAATAGCACTCCTCCCAACAGCAGTAAGCAATGGTTGGCAGCCACACTAATACTCCTTATTTAATTGTATTAATAATTCAAACTAGTTAATAAGTAAACAAAAAGCCATTGATATTTTATTAGGATGCACCATCTTTCTCCCCATACTTCCAACATTAAGACAGATAGAAATCTTTGTCATGAATTGTAAAGAAATGGCAAGAGTGAACCTGTGGGAACCTGTGACATTATATTTATGCTCATCCACAGATGGCCATTGGTAGCCTGACCAAGCATACATGTATATACTTGTTTGGTCAGACGAAGAGAGATGAAGCTGCTGCCAAACAGCTTTGATGTTGGCTTATCATGGTCAACACAATAGCAATAATTACAAAAGCTATTGTCCTCCAGATCTGCTGGCAATGGGAATCTAGAAATGCCCATACTGTAGATATAAGATCTTCTGTCATTCTGTATATAAGTTTAGGCTTCCCATACACCTACTGTAAGAGAGTTTCTGGAAATGTAGTCTAAGTCTGGATGTTTCATGTGAGTTGAGTGTCTTTAATTTGCCCACAGCAAGCACTGGTATGTATAAGGTGCATGCAGTCTAATTGCCCTTAAGAATCACCATCACTAAATGGAACTAGAAGTATGAATGTTCATCTTGGCTGAATGTTTGCTTTTATCAGTTTGGGTTTGGTTAAGGGCACTTCAAACTGCCAGTTATTCTGGGGCAAAGCAATAGCAACCAGGATAATTTTTTTTACTTGTCCATTTAAATGTCTTTCTACAAAATAGTTTGATTGCAGGGATTTGGGTTTACCATTTATATAATTTCATGCATTTTGGTATTTTATTTGGTACCATATAGTCCAATGACAGGCACAAGGTGGTTCTCTCGTTCTGGGAGGACGTCATATGACGTCCTTCCATTCTCACCGCACATGCGCGCGGCTCCGGGAGCACGCAGCGCGGCAATCGGCGGTGCGCTGTGTCCCTTGGATACAGCAGATCACCGATCCACGGAAAGAGCCAAAGATGTCGGCTCGGTCATGTGATCAGCTGTGTCCAATCACAGCTGATCACATGTAAACAGGGAAATGCCGGAGAGGAGAGCCGGAAACCGGCATTCCGCGGAGGGGACATGTACACTGATCATCAGGGCACTGATGATCAGTGTGGCCCCAGAAGTGCCACCTGTCAGTGTCCATTAGTGCCAGCTGTCAGTGCTGAACAGTGCCACGTGCCAGTGCCCATCAGTGCCACATCAATGCCACATATCAGTGCCTACCAGTGCACATCAATGCCACATATCAGTGCCCATCTGAGCTGCCTTTCAGTGTCACCCATCAGTGCCAGTCATTGCCACCTATCAGTGCCAGTCAGTGCCGCCTATCAGTGCCAGTCAGTGTGCCTGCCAGTGCCCATCAGTGCCGCCTATCAGTGCCCGCCAGTGCTGCCTAACAGTGCCAGTCAGTGCCACCTAACAGTGCCAGTCAGTGCCGCCTATCAGTGTCGCCTATCAGTGCCATATATCAGTGCTGCCTTTCAGTGCCCATCAGTGATGCCTGTCAATGCCCATCAGTGCCACCTACCAGTGCCACCTATCACTGTCCATCAGTGCAGCTTATCAGTGCCCATCACTGCAGCCTCATTAGCGCACCTCAGTGAAGGAGAAAAATCACTTATTTACAAAGTTTTATAACAAAAACTAAGCCCCAAATTTTCAGTGGTTTTTGGTTTGTTTAAGAAAAACTAAAAAACCCAGAGGTGATTAAATATCACCAAAATAAAGCTCTGTCACAAAATAATGATAAAAATTTCATATGGATACAGTGTTGCATGACCACGCAATTGTCATTCAAAGTGCGACAGTGTTGAAAGCTGAAAATTGGCCTGGGCAGGAAGGGGGTATAAGTGCCCTGTAGGCTAGTGGTTAATGATATTAGAATCAGACTTTATAAGCAGCTGATAGAAAGACAATGCATTAGCAAAAATAAATGTTTGTGTAAAAGAATAAAAAAATTGTTGGGTACATATACATATACTTTGTTGTTGGTAAATGTATACTATGCTCACTTTGTTTTGTTTTATTTTTTGATACCTCCTATTAAAAATAAAATAAAATAATAATGTAAAAGAATAAGTGAATAGTTAATATACGTTATACTTTGTTGGTAAATTGCAATTCTGTTTATTGGGGTTTATCGTAACATTCTTTCCATACAAAGATTCTGTTTCTACTTTTAAATTGTTTTGTGTCTTTGGAGGTGCAAAAATCAAATTGCATTTCTATTTTTTAATTAGAGAGCTATACAAAAAATCTTAAAGTGGAGTTCCAGCTGTTTTTGTGTTTATTAAAAGTCAGCAGCTAGAAAAACTGTAGCTGGTGACTTTTAATAAACAGTCACTTACCTGTCCCGGTGTTTAGCAATGTACTCACCCACAGAGACCCTTCTCTCCTTCTGTCCTCCACGGCACCGGCATCTCTACTGTGGGCACCAGCTGTGACAGTTTCCGGCTTCACAGCCTAGTGCCCACTGCGCATGCATAGTCGCGGCGAGACTCCTGATTGGTCTGGCAGTCTCCTGGGACCTGTGAAAGTTCCCAGGAGACTGTGAGAGCAAGGAGAGGGCCGAATTTCCAGCTCAATTCGCCAGGGCAAACTGAGCCGGAAGTGGGAGCGGATACCTCCTGCCCAAAAGGTGCCAAATATGGCAGTGGAGGGGGGAAGGTGGCAAATAAGCGGAGCTTCCGCTTTTGAGTGGAACTCCGCTTTAAGAAAAAAAAAAACACAACAGTAATAACCCTCAGTGCTTGATTAACAATGAATATTTAAGTAATTGAAATTCTAAACTTGAACAATAACAAAAATAAATCTAAAAAAAATCAATTATACACAATATAAGTATTTTGTTCAGCCAGAGGTTTGAACAAAAAAGTGACCAGATTCCCTCATCCACACATTTGAAGCAGATGGGGGATTTCACTCCTGCTGAGATCAGTAGATCGATTTCTGTACTACCAGTGTGCCCATACATAGATATGCTGAATTTGGCTGGCTTAGGAGGAACAAGGTGATAGTTGTATGCTAAGTCATCAACTCCTCATCACCTCATTAGCACTTGTAAAGCAACTGGGTGGTAGGGTATTCCTTGTAGACAGCAGCATGGTATGCTTGAAATGTTCTTTAATGCTCTCACATGGTAATAGTAGATAGTAACAGTCAGCTGCAAGGGCTTAACTATAACTATAACCATACAAGACCATGCAGGTACTATAGGGCCCAGAGGTACAGGAATGTCAGTACTGTCTGGCTACAGAAATTAGCAACGTGCCCTCCCAGCATTCTACAGAATAGTTAGAACAACAACACTTATATCAGACAACAATTTGCCCTGAGAATAACTGTACTTGAATTATTTTCTTCTTACTGGCTAATAGATTTCACAATATGGTTCTTTTTGCATAGCAGTTATTATAGTATTTGGTGCTAATAGCTGTATATTTTTCAGATGTATGTTTTGTCTTTAAGGTCTGTGGATTGGATTGTTTTGTCCAATGTTCCTGCAAAACTGCATCTACATACCCTATATCTTTTGTTTGAACTGGCACAAGGCCTGTGAAGAGGTAATGAGCTTACTGAGTTAAGACGTTAGACATAATGTGAAGCTGTGCTTTGCCATGCAGGGCAAGTCAGCTTGACTGCCTCCCTCCCCACCAGCACATAATAAACTTTCCTTCTTTTCCGCTTTCCATTTGGCAGCTTGTAGTGAAGAGGAATACCTGGTACTTCTTGGTATAGGGAGAATCTGAATTACTCTTATTCCTTTCATGTGGAAGACTGGTGGTTGGCTGATTAGTACCTTCTACTTTTACACAGGGGTGGAAAGAGAGTTTGTAGTCTAATGCAAGCCCCAAATCACAAATATTTGTAGAGGGGAGGGTGGCAGTTAAAGGATAAGTTCTCCTTTTAACAAAAAATAATACATGCACTTTGTTTGCAGTTAAAAAAATGTACATTTATTATTTTTTGTTTCTGGAGCCTTTAAAGCATTACACCAGCGATCAGATCGCTGGTGCCATGAAGGTCTCCGTCTGACCTGTCACTGCATCTACTTGCTTGTACATCCCGTATGGGCAAGCAGATACTTACTGACAGGAAGGCTCAATAAACTACCATGGCGCTCCACAGTGTGGTAGCAGTTCACTTAAAACTACAAGCCGACAGCCGCAAAGGCTGTCGGAACTTGTAGTGTTCCCATTCACAGAATACTGTGAAAGAGTGATGTATCCGCATGGTCACGTTTTGTTTAAATTGTGACAGCAAGTGGAGAAGGAGGAAAAGATCCCCTAGCTGTCACAACGGGGATCAGTGGGGGCCGGGCCGTTCCTAACATGTTACACCCTGAAAATGGGTGTAACATGTAACATGTTCCGAAAGGTGAACCTATCCTTTAAGTAAATGTGTTGATTTGGCTTGCAAAGAATTACAAAAACCATTTGAATAAATGTGAGTTTCTCTGTGAGATTTTTACAGTTGTTATTATACTTAGCTGTTAATATACCACCTACCACAGTTAATGTTTGATTATCTGATTTAATTCTTGTAGGCTGGGGGAAAAGTAACAGGTTGTGGAGGTTAAAGGACAGGTTTATATCTTTCATGTACTCCTCAGTCTGGCTGTTCACCTGATGGAGCCCCCTGAAAATTGGCTGTGTAAGTTCCAATTCAACACTAAGTTGGAGCTTATAATTTGTTTAAGGACCCCCTGCCTCCACCCAACAGGGCTAAGACCTGCTGACTTGCAGCTCAGCTTTTAGAAGAAAATGGAGTTAAATGTACTTCTATACTCAAAAGTATCCGGTTTCTCCAGTGTGTGAACAGGGATGTGACTTCTTGCTAACTCACACAACTGGGCTTGGGATTTGGCTATCGCCTGTGTCTTGCCTGAAGTTTTTGCTATTTTGTCAAGGTTTCACCTGCAGTATCAATAGCTGGTGAAATCTTCTATTCCGGGCCAACCAATAATCCTTTTAGTGCCACTGCTGTAAGAGTTGCAGTGGTGGCAGCGGGGGCTCCCAATGACAGTCACAGTCATTTTCTATGACCCTCAGAGTTTGGCCCCGCTAGGCCCAACCCCACCTTCCCACCATTCCCCCCTTATCGCCATGCTTCCCAGGCGCCGTCTTTCAACCTGCAGGTCTGGGACTTGCATGACGGGTGCCACTAGATGGGAGAGACACCAGCTAACGTTCATTTGCTGATCTTGCCTAACTAGAATGAACCCAGAAGCGACCTGTAAAATGTCATGTCTGGTTTCTGGTGACACTTTCCCTGGCCCTTGCAATCTGTGCTCCATTAGCTTTAATTGAAGGCAGGTGAAACATCAAGGGTCTAAAGGTCCTGATGTCTCATAAAGAGAACCGGTCTTAAAATATTACATCACATAGGAGACTGTTTGTCCTCTATGTGATACAAATTACGTTTTCGTGAAAGAACCCCCCCCCCCAAAAAAAAAAATTTTGAGGCCACCCCACCGCCCACACACAAACTTAAACACACCTGTCGGGGGTACCCATGTACACAAATGTTGCTTGTGATACACATGTTGCATATTGCTTGAGTGAGATCAATAATTCTAGGCCAATATTCACAGTTAAAGTAATTAAAATAATAAACATGTCATATTTATCTGCTTTGTGCAATCATTTTGCACAGAGCAGCTCAAATCCTCCTCTTCTTGGGTCCCCTGCCATGCTCCTGGCTCCTTCTCTTCAGCAAGTGCCCCCATAGAAAGCCACTGGCACAGACAGAGTGGTTCAAGCCAGTTCCCACTCTCTCATCAGAGTTTGATTGACAGTCAATGTTGAGAGTCAGCTATCAGTCTCCGGCTCTCTGCTCTGCCCCTCCAGTGCTCACTGTGAAGGGCATGGGAGTGGCTAGCTTAGGCTCTCAGTGGCTCACTGTAAAGTGTAAAGTGGGATATTTTCTGAGCCCTGATGTCAGCTGACAGAGGGCTGTAGAGGTACAGCCAAAAAAGATATACCGTATTTGCCGGCGTATAAGACGACTTTTTACCCCTTGAAAATCTTCTCAAAAGTCGGGGGTCGTCTTATACGCCGGTATACGGCATACTGACACTTTTTAGGGGGGGGGGCGGCGCGTTGCCGCCGCCGCCCCCCCCCTTCCCCCAATGGAAGGGACACTAAGTACAGGGGTGGGCAGCGGCTGTTTCTTACCTGGTTCCGGTCCCACGACGATCCGGTCCAGGAAGCGCGGCTGCGCCTTCAGTTCGGCCACTGGATGTTCGTGCGGCTGCTCGGCTCCGCCTCCTCACCAGTGATTGGCCGCCAGAACTGTAGCTCAGGAAAGGCACACAGGCGGCCAATCACCGGTGAGGGGGTGGAGCCGAGCGGGCCCCGCGAAAATCGAGTGCAGGACCAGCAGGTAAGTGGTCAGTGTAGAGGTGCTGCTGCAACCACATATGCTGGCTGCAGCAGCACCATACGAGAACAGGGTCAGCAAGTGTCAGTGGGAGGAATAGTGCC